GGAATGTTCTCCTATGACACTAAATGCCAGACTAAGATTGATATGTACAGTTGATATGTACAGTTGTGGATGAAAGCCACAGCAGCAACAAGGGAGAGAAATCTGTACGAGCCCCACAGCGTCCCTCAAAGCTTGCCCGGCAGAATCCTACTGGATTAAAAGGAAGACTGCTGTCCCTAGTACTAAGGAGTGACAGAGCTAGAAGCCAGGAGTTCTGGTTATGGTTCCCTGATAGGGAATCAAATCCAAAAGGGCCTCAGCTCAGTTGACAAGCGAAGCTGATGCAGAGGGCTGATAAAGACCAAGTCAGAGATCAAGTACCCCTGGAATCCAGTTGTTTTCTCCCAGAGAAACCCTCTGTCTCATGCCTAGAGACTGGATTTATGCAAGGTGTGTCTTGTGCTATCTTTCTAGCTTGCTCACACCATGCTTTACTTCACCCTCGGGCCTTCTTGAGTTCCTCCAACATACCATGCTCCCTCCTGCCACAGGACCTTTGTACATGGTGGACTGATCTTTTCTCACTTCTTTGCCGAGTTAGCTCATACTCTTCCTCCTACGAATCTCAACTTAACAATCAGTCCTCAGGAAAGCCTTCTTTTATTCCCTAGTCTACATCAGGTTTTTAAAAATGCATTCACAAAACCATATTCCCTTTCTTCACAGGACTCATTTCCGTTTGTAATAATACACTCATAGTGTGATTATTTGGTGAATGTCATTCTGAAAGCAGAAAATTTGTTTCTTTTCACTCTTATATCCCCATGGCTTATCGCAGTGCCTGGCACAAACTAGGTGATCAGTATATAGTTATTGAGGACTGTATATTTACTTTTTACTTGATGTGGTAGGTCCCATATTGGACTAGGTAGGAGCCCAGGTCAACTCATTCTTAGTTCTGAGAACAGAGTTCAAAGGATCCTAGGTATACCATAGTTTTCATAATTAAGAAACATCCTTTTATAGCAATTTTCTTTTATTGAAAAGTTGGGGCTGCCTCTTGCCCTAGAAAATCACTAAACTAGAAATGATTTATTATTGTCCTGATGTAGTTAACCGATTAAGGCCAAAGTTTGACCACTTTTAGCCAGAACCTGTTACACAAAACAGGGACAGACTGGCTACAGATGGAAGGAAGAGGATTCAAGACCAGGTGCCATAAGGCTAGGAATGCTTCCCTCTGATATGGTGCTAAATACAAGGGCTGGACCTCAGAGACCCTGCGGATATCTGGTAACTAGGGTATAATGAGTAACATCTTGCAAAGAACATCAAACTGCAGAACCAAAGGAGGTGTCTAGACTTGAGAATATGACGCAGATAATGAATTCAGCAGAACAGAATCCACCCTTCTAACACTCAACTTTTCTAGTTTCCTTTTGTGGTGGTCCCTGTTTACTGATCATTTACTTAGCAAGGTACTGCCCTAAGCATATATGTATGTGTATATATATGTATATACATATGCACATATATACACACACGTGTGTGTGTGTGTGTGTGTGTGTGTATAAACACCTTTTTAAAAAATTCTAACAATTCTCTTTTTCAGAGCTCCTCTCTACAGATCATGAAGTAGAAGCTTGGCTAAGTTAAAAGACATGTTAAAGCTTACACAGCCAGCAAGTAGTAGAGCTGGCTGAGAATTTTAAGCTTGTTGGACTCCAAAGAATCTGTTCTCAACCATAATGCCAATGTCACACCAAATGCTAGTCACTAGAAGTTATGACTTTTTTAAAAACCATATTGCAAGACCACTTGCCTTAATATTTACTAATACTTTTCTTTACATATATGCACTTTGAAATTTAAATGGATTTTTCAGTATCTGTAATATCATAGGATTGATACGATAGTTGTATTTTATGATATTCATTATCACAAATACATAATTATGAAAACAAAAAACGTCCATGTAGTATTTAGAAGAACCTCGCCTCCCACCTCAGGGATGTTCATACCATACTTTGGGAACCCCACATTTTTCTATACTGAACCATGTTTCTTCTGCCTCCTTAGTGGATAAGAGGCATTATAGAAATGGTGCTAAACAACATATGATTTATTGATGGTTGGTGGCCTGTCTGGTGGTTGGTGTTTTTCCGAGACTATTTTGAAAGATGGCCGCTTCCTACCCCAGAGGTGGCTGCACTTCAGAGACGATAAGCAAAAGGGTCCCAGTCTGTACAGTCTGCTCAGTGCTTAGGGCGGTCTGGTGGAAAGTAACTGTATAGATATCAGTTATCATCATTCTCATGATGACAATGATTATTTTACATACGGCTGCTTTAAGGGTGAATGGCACGGTCTCATTTGTATGCCAGCATCTGTCAGGCTGTCACACATCTGCAGAATATAACCTCAACTGTGCTATTAATATGTCCCTTTTGCATTCTCCTCAAGGCATCTGTCTCCTAAAATGCCTAACGAAACTTCCCTCCCTCTTGAAGGCCTGGAGGCAAAATTTGGAAAGCATGTCACCTAGACTGGGGACAGCAGAAGCTCAGCTGAGCCTGAGCAGATTTCTGGCTCTTGGAATAGACATCAAGGGAGAAAGGGAACCACCACCCACACTCGTTCTGTTAGCAGCTGCACTTGCAGGCAAAATCTGTAGGCAGATTCTCCTAGGCTCAGACAGTATGTCGCGTCTGCTCTGTGATCAACAAAAGATGTCAGTCACGGTCTTAATGGTCAGTTCTCAGTCTCCATAATCACCACGACTGGCTTACAGCTGCATTCTCTGAAAAGCCTTGGGGAACTCTGAAAAGCCTTGAGCACTCTTCTGTGGTGAAGGTCAGGTGTCTGTGTACCTAAACCAGGTCTTTTTACTCATTTGCAACAGCTGTACTACATTTCCCAGCCTGCCTTGCAGTTAGATGTGATCATGTGACTGCGCTCTAGCCAATGGAATGCACACTACTTTAGAACCTGGCTCACAGGAGTCTCCCATGTGTGGTCCTACACAATCTTCCTCTTTTGCTGTACAGATGCAGATAAGCATGGTGACACTGGGGAGCCACAAGATGGAAAGAACCTGAATCTCTGAATCACTCATTGGAGGAGGCTGCCTGCTGATGGAGATCATCAATATTGGACTTTACAAGAGAAATAATCTTCTATATGTTTGAGCCATTATGGAGTCTATTTTATATCAGAACATTCAGAGCTGTACTGTAACTAATATACACTTAAGGTGAAATTGCCAGCTTCCATTTCATGATTAATTATCCACTGGATATAGCTCCACTTTGGTGACCTACCAGTATTTCAAACTTGACATGTCCCATCAAAATGGTACTTTCTGTATGTCAGAATATTCTAGGTACTGGGATACAGGGATGGATCATATAAAGTTACTTCTGTCATAAAATTCACATTCAAATATGGGGAAACCCAAAATACACAAATAAGAAAACGAATTTCAAATAGTGATACATGTTATGAAGTTAACGGGGATAGAGGGTTATTGGGGGTTACTTGGGAGTTAGTGGGAGGAAGTGCCTCTGAGGAGGTGACAGGAGACTGAAGTCTATACAGTGACACATAGTTAGCCATGTGGACTCTGGGGGCAGAGTATTCCAGAAAAAGGGAACAGCACATGCAGAGAATGGAAGTAAGAACAAGGTTTATCCAGGAACAGAAAAGAGGATAGTTGGCCGAAGCAGAGTGAATCAGGGCAGACTGGTATGATAGGGTATCAAAGAGGGATGCAGGGCCACTATCATGTGAAATCTTGCAGTCCAGAGTTAAGAACTTGGATCTTATTCTAAGTTCAATAGGAAGCTACCAGCATGTTTTAATCTGGGGAGGAATGATATCTGAATTACATGTTGAAAGGTCTACTCTGTTATGTGGAACACGTATTGTGTAGGAGAGCAAGAGAGAATGGAGACTAGACAGTAGATTATTGCAGTCACATAGGTAAGACAACAGTGGCCAGTACTAGTGTGTGTCGGTAGAATGGAGATGGAGAAAGATGCGTTGATTTGAGATATATTTTAGACGAAGCAAAGGCAGGGCTCACAGATATTGGGCTGGGGGGTGGGGAGGCTGGTGAGTGGGAAAAAAGATCAATATTGACTCTTAGGTCAGTTGCTTAGCTACCTGGATGGTGAAACCATTAACTGAGGTTGGGAATTCAAGTGAAGAGTCAGGTTTGTGGTGGGATGGACCACAGGATAGGCGCTGAATAAATGACCGATTTTTAATATTAAATAGAGGGTCAATACAGTAGGGTGAGAATACTGGGTCAGATACTCATTCAGCAATTGTCTCGACTTCTCTAAATTTTAGCTAAACAGAAGATAATAATACAACCCCATAATGTCAATATGGGGTTGTTGTATCAAATATACTCTTGGCAGGTAGAGACTGAAGAAGTGTGATGGGGACATGAGCATTGCTAATAAAGTTTGGTTTTCTGATCTGGATGCTACTTGCACAGGAGTGCTCTGTCTGTGAAAATTCATCAAGCTGGACAATAATGATACATGCATCTTTCAAAATGAGATCCTATGCATTCTATTCCCAGTTCAGTGCTTGGAATTCAATAAATGGCAGCCATTATTATTTTCATTATTACGACACAATGAAAACCATCTCCTGTGTACCTGTTGTCCATAATGTCCATATAGGCCATTTGTGAATCCATTAACAAGAGGAAGGAACCCTACAGTGAACTCTAAGGTCTGGTCTTATAGTTGATAAAGTCAAATCTAGTTTGTAATTCATGACCCATAAGTGCCTCTGCATGAAGGGATTGACTCAGAGTTCTAATCCAGAGGTAGCCCTGGTCCACTACTTGTAATTCAGTACTTCCCTAACTTTGTTTAGATGAATGAGTATCACAGATGCCAAGGTAATTTAAAAGGGAACAGTTCTTCACAAGTTCTAGGTTTTCAATTGTGATTGCCCTTTCTATTCCACTTTCCCCCAAGCTTGCTCATACCTGAATACTCTTGATTCAAGCCAACTGGTTATTGGCCCCAAAGAAAGGATACTAAAACTTTGATTGGTTATTTCAAAGTTCCATAGGTTAATCCTCAGGTCATCAGCTGACATGTAGGTTTCATAGTCACTGTTGACTGATATGGAGTTGATGTGATATGTGTGTGCGTTGGCAAATACTCTTCGCGGGGTGGCCTCCACCATCAGGTCCATGGGTCTCAGGACAGGCACCTGGAATGCAAGGGAAACAAATCACTTCAGAACCCAGAGCTCTTTACTAGGAAAAGAGTGTGCATGTTTATGTCCTTTATTATCATATACAAAATCATGACTACGTCAAAGGAGCTCTGAGCTGGAAAAGGAGATTGATAAATTACATGTTGTTCCTATTCCCTTTGGTTCCTTTTAGTTTTATTCCTTCCTCAAAAATGTCACCATCCTTTAGCCCTGATGGGCAATTTCATCCTTTATAGATTCTAAGATGTTTTTCAAGTGGCGCACAAAGTGGCCTCATCTCAGGGGAACTTAGAATCCACTGTGGGGTCATTAGCTTCCAGAGCTGTTGTTCCAGATTGTTTTGTTTTTTAACCATGAAATCTTTTTCTTTTTTCTTTTTTTTTTTTTTTGCGTTACGCGGGCCTCTCACTGTTGTGGCCTCTCCCGTTGCGGAGCACAGGCTCAGCGGCCGTGGCTCACGGGCCCAGCCGCCCCGCGGCATGTGGGATCCTCCCGGACCGTGGCACGAACCCATGTCCCCTGCATTGGTAGGCGGACTCTCAACCACTGCACCACCAGGGAAGCCCCATGAAATCTATTTTTGAAAGGAAGTTGTAGGAAAATTTTAGAAACGTCTAGTTCAACTGAGATTAAAATTTATCCTTCATGGCTTTGGAGGTCTAGACCCCATCCTGGCTTTATCCTCAATCCTTAAGGGAATTTTGGGAAAGCATATAACCACCCAAATTTCTAGTACCCCAAATTCAGCCATTAATATATAGGGCACCCATTGACATCCTTGGTTTAACCTGTTGTCTTGGAGTACCAACAAGGCAGTGTCCACTTGCACATCAAAACTGTCCTCATTTGGACAATAAATTATATAGTCATCTTACTGGTAATATGAAGGATAATCAGTAAATATTTGTTAAGTGAGTGAGTAAGAATACGTGAGTAAATGTTACCTTCCCCATGGGTCAGAGAATCAGGCAGTTAAATATAGTTTTGCACACAAGAAGCTCTTCCTGGCAAATGGGAACAAAGACCCACCTCTGTTCTGACACCCTCTTTGAATTCAAGGGCACTTCTGCCTACACCTGGCTGAACTGGCTCCTGAGAAAGTAGTGGGAAAACTAACGCCTCAGAGGAGACAGACTAAAACACAATGCAACAAACACAAAACACGGGCCTGCCCCTTTCACAGAAATGAGAACATAAAAGCACCAAAAGCTGTTTTCTTTTCAGGGAAGTCATCTCTTGCAACTGAGCCCTGATTTGATAGCAGGTGGTCGATCAAGACTTCAAATTCTGGATTTCTGTCAACCCAGTGGGTGAGGGGAAGAAGGCGGAAACAAAGGTTAAATTTTGTGGAGTGCAGTCACCTCAACAATATAACCTTTTAGAAAACAGAATTCTCCCAGCTCAGTCTTGAAGGATTTTGAGGTAGTCTTTAAGTTAAATGAACAATTCAGAGGAATGACAGAATTCTGTGCAAATGTGGCAGTGGATATCCTGGAAACCAGAGCAGCTTGAGATGCGGATGTAGGAAGAGCCAGGGGTCCTCTGAAAAGCAGCAGTGGGATGGGAGGGAAAGTCTTTGAGAGCCCTCCACCCTGTTCTGGATAATGGTTCTATAGTATAAGCCCAGGAATGGCAAGAACTAGGAGCCCTGGGTTCTGACCACAGATTCGCCCCTCATTGACAGGCTGTGTGACCTCGGGCAATTATCCTGCCCCTTCTGGGCTCTGGTTATATTATCTGAAATACTCACTGTGCCCTACTTATCAAGAAGGTTTGGATCTGTTGAGATGATTTGCCCTTCAGTTCAACCTCCCACTCACCCTTTCAGCAACATTTGCTTGAGCTCTGTACAAGGTCCTGGGGGGTTCAACTGGTGAGCAAAACCAGACACAGGTCCTGCCTTCATATGGCTGGTCCAGTTGGTAGAGGTAGGTACAAAATCATCTCATAATAAAATGTAGTAAGTACATTTTATTTGTAGTAAGTACAAAAGGAGAGGAATAGCATTAAGAAGGATTTCACCTCGTCAGGAAGGTCTGGAGAAGTTTTGCCAAATGAGGGTGTGTCTGAGTTAAGGCTTTGTAATGGATAAGAAAAGTACCTTTGCCCTTAGGAACTCTCCTGCAAATATTTATTGGGCATTGACTCTGCGTCAAACATTCTTCATACACCATCTCAGTAACTGTTTCAACAACTCTGTGAAATAGATACTAGTAGTACAAAGTACTATTACAAAGAGAAAACTCACGCTCAGAGAAGCTAAGTCACTGGCCCAGAGTTGCCCAGCTATAGGAGGCATAGCCAGAATTTGATCCCAGAGTCTATCTGACTGCAAATCTAGGCTTTTTCCACTGTATCACACCACACTCAAAGAGCATGCATGGTAAGATGTGATAAATGCTCTGTAAGGGATACGAGTACAGTGCCCATAGAATTTGTGGAATCAATAGGATTATTGGTAGTAATAATGGTAATGGTAGTCATAGAATTCTGTGGCTAAGCTGCCTCGAGAAATCTCAGTTTGGTGCTGTAGGTGTTCACGTGTGCTTTCAGAGACACACGCCTGCTCTCGCGGTTTGTCATAAAGGAACTCCCCACCTGGAGCTTTTGAGCTCTGCCCAGCCCCGCAAGGTAGTAGAGCTCAAGGCAGGCTCCCCAGGGCTGTGGAAGAAATGGAATCTGTGAGGACTTCCTGTGGCTTCTCCTCAACTCTTCCCTGGGGCTCCTTCATTACCATGCACTGTCCGCAGAGGCTTCCCGTGGCTCTGGTGGCAGGGAAGGGAGCATGACAGCCAGGATACAGAGGCATTACCAAGCGGTAACTGCCAGCCCAGAGTTTCAGTTTAATGTGATGGGCCTGCGTGCTAATTCAGGCTGACATACTGCATGATGTGGCACTTTATGGGGAAGCTCCGGGTAGGTATCTGAGGAGGGAGTGCTAATGGTTTGCCCAGATAAGGCAGGGGATGAACGTCACTCATGATATTCCAACACCATTCCCATGCCCAGGTCAAGGCTATCCACTGCCCAGTGACACCCCTCACAAGAAGGAAGAGGGAGGAAAGGCAGTTCAAGCTGGACAGGATGACCAGTGAAGAAACCCTGATGGGACTGTGTTTTCTACTACTCTTCTTGGGGCCAGGCAGGGAGAAGAGTGGGACACAGTTCCTTGAGTTCGGCTTTCCCCGTAAGATCATGGAGGGCTTCCTGTAGTAGCAGTCACTGCGTTACAGCACCCCTGCCCTTCAGCCCTCTCTGTAGCCGACCTCACAAGGAAGACTCCTTGTTTGCCATTTTACAGGAAAGGTGAAGTATCCTGTCCGACGTCACACAGAGAGGAAGATGAGGGGCTCAACTTGGACAATTTGGTTCCTGCGTGAGCACACGTAGCCACGGTTACAAATGAAACCCTTAGGCTGAAATATGAGAATGTCATCTCTGCAAGTCAAAAATTGTCAAAGCTCAGTAATTTCACGTGGTTCAGCCTAACAGTTTGAAAGGCTTGTGCCATATGCATGTGACACTGAATCACGGAACACTGAATCTTGGAAGGGCCATGAAAGCCTCTTTCAAGGCTGTCGTGTGTGTAAGTGTGTGTTTTGCCGGGGGGCAGAGTGGGAGGCCATGGTGTCTAGGCCTTACCCTCTTCATCATTCCTGGTAATACGTTTGGATTCTCAATCAATATCTTGCTTAAATAACTATTTCTGTGGTTAAGGAAATTTTGAGACTAAGTGGCCCAGATAGTTCCTAAGTTCTGCAGAGGAGGAAATCAGGAGCCCAAGAGGGGACATGCCACGTCTATGGTCACCCAGTTGGGGTTGTCAACACAGCCTGGGTTTCTGCCACTCATCCCAGAGCTTCCCTTCCTCTGCCCCCCAACAGCAGGTGCCTGAGTCATTCTCCACAGAACCAGACAAACTCCAGGATCAAACCAGGACCTTTAAATGGTACTTCAAACCCTCTTTTCTGAGATATCTTGGCAGTGGCCGTGGGCCTAGACTCATCCCTGAGACAAGGCTGGTGCTGCATTGTGCTTGCGAATGAGAATGGGGGTCAGCCCTCGGCCCTCGCAGGGTACAGGTGGCTCTGGACTGTGATGCTGGAATTCATGGCCTTCCCTCAGGTGCCTCATACTCCTCCCTGACCTTGATTCAGTTTCTGCTCATCACCCGGCGCCTGATTCTGAAGGACGAGCACCCTGGCCTGGTTGGCAAGACGATATGCATCGTGTTAGAGTATCAGCCGGATAATGTCCCAGGGCCCAAGAGAGCAGCCTCAGAGTCTAACCTGCCACGGGGCTTACGGAGACGTGTCTCAGCTGGGGTGTTAGTGGATGAGAGGAGCCCAGAGCACCCCGTGGCTCCCTCCCTCACATCACTCAGGGCTCTGTTCAGTGATCACCCTCCGAGAGAGGCCCTCCACGCCCCCCCCCCCACCTCGCATAGCACAACCTCCACTCGCCATCCTCCGACCCAGCTGACCGCTCATAATGTTAAGTAATTCATCAGTGAACCCTCATCAGTATCCTATCATTTAGCTTGGTGGATAATATGATCTCTGCTGCACAGATGAGGAAACAGAGGCCAGAAAGGTTAAGTAATCTGTATAAAGTCACACAGCTCATACTCATGCCTGGCACTCCCGACTCTGGAGTCTAAGTCCCTGGCTGCTCTGTCCTCTGGGCTTCGAGGATCACCCTCAGGTGTGTGGGAGAGATAAGTACGCACGTGGGTGTCTCAGTGCAGGTGCACTGCCCAGGACAGTGTCAGCCAAACGGGCCCCGTGTCTGCTTGGGGAGCTCAAGGGGGACCTCAAAAAGAACAGGACTAGTAAGCGAGCAGGAGGTGAAGGGTTTGTGGGAATCCACCAGGCAGAAGTTGGGGGCGGGGAGGGGAGGAAGCTGTGCTCCGGTCAGAGGGACTGGCGTGTGCAGAGCTCGGAGGAGACGGAGCAAAGCGCATGCGTGCAAGTGTGTGATTCTGTGCGTTTCTG